TCATCTGATGAAGGGTCTAGGCCCGAAACGTCAGCCTCTCTGCTCCTATGATGCTGCTTGGCCTGCTGTGTTCATCCAGCCCTGCACCTTGTTGTCTCGGATTCTCCAGCATCTGCAGTTCCTACTATCTCTGGAGGAAGATTCAGTGGTTTTTGTCGAGGTCGTCACAATTCCATGTTTTATTTGTTTGCTTGATACATAACTGTGTAGAACCAAATTGCTTTGTGACAGTGTGCATGTGCAAAGATTCTTTAAGGAATAAAGTATATTTTTGAAATAAAATAGGAACTCCACCAGAATTACAGCTCTTCATTATCTTCGTCTTCATACATTCGAGACAGCGAAAGTGCATGTCTGATGGCTGTTAAGTGTTAAGCTGGAGAGGAGAGACGAGAAGAATACAAGGTTCTACCCTGCTGGTTAATCATGTGTTAATATTTGTTTTTCTGAGCTCCACACTGAGAAGTGGACACTTAGGTCTGGTGTTGGAGGGCAGCAGGAACTCTGGTACCTGATTTGAAGACACAGTGGTGCAGATTTTGAGTATTTCTTGCCGAACAATTAACCCTCAACTGAGATCTTGTTTCATTCTGGCAAGCACACTTCATGAATAAGTTTTCATGAGGCTGTGGAGAAAATTTTGCAGAATAGCCTATCTGAATATGTTTGCCAACGCTCCAATGGTGAGGTATTTGAACATCCAAGAGTAGACAAGGAAAATAACTGAGTGAGTCAAAACTGTCCTGCTGTCAATTAGTTGAGTTTATGTGACTACCCCTTCAATGGAGAAAGACAGGGCAAGCTCTGGTTGCCCTGCAATAGGCAGTGTACTATTAAATTTGAAAGGGAGCAGACAAGATTTACAAGGATATTACCAGAACCAGAGGGTTTGGGTTATAAGAAGAGGCTGGATAGGCTGGGACTTATTTCGTTGGAGTCTAGGAGGTTGAGGGGAAACCTTATAAAGGTTTATAAAAACATGAGGGGCGTAGATAAGGTGAATAGCCAAGGTCTTTTCCCTATTGTGGTGGAGTTCAAAACTAGGGGGCATATTTTTGAGGTGAGAGGTGATAGACTTTTTCACACAGAAGGAGGTTCATATCTGGAATGAGCTACCAAAGTGGTAGATGCAGATACAGTTAACATTTAAGAGACATTTGGACAGGTACACGAATAAGAAATGT